GAGTACTTGTTCTCAGTGTATTGGCTGTCCCAAGTCCTGTAAGATTTCTGAAACACTGACTGGCTTCAGATTTTTTTTTTCACGTCTGGAAAATGTGTTTATGGGATAAAAATACAGGATTATATAAAACGTGTCATATGTATAATTTACTGATCAGTGAAAATGGTCGTATAGTATTTATGTTACTGCGGAATGTATCAATAATATGGTAGAAAGTCTTGGTTTGGACTTCCAGATTGCCTAGGAAAAGGACAGCTTTTCAGATCTTTGCTCCAGAAATGAAGTGAGGTGGAATGGTTGAAGATTGAGTTCAGATTTTCTTTGAAGTACAAAGCAGAAGCTTTTAAAACATTCTTGGCAACAGTCTGAACAGTAGCAACTTATTTTGACTAACTGCAACTATTCCTACAGTTTCAGCTGTCAAAATTGTGGATTTAATTACAGAACTGGAATGATAGTGCTCATTGACAGGCGTAAACAAGCCTGAGCTCTAACAGAGACTTCTTTCTGAACCCATCATAGAGCGCACAGAAATTCTGTGGCAGGTTATCTTTACCTTTTCTTTACCTGTGATATAATGAGCTGTTCCACCACTTACCCCTTTGCCCCCTTATCTTTTATTTATACTTCTCAGTCACCTGGAGAACCTGTTTAAAGGCTTTTTACTCTTTAACTTCTTGCTTGTTGGTCATGCTTTTCTCCCTTTATTGTTTTTCCCTCCTCTTGTCATTAGTTTGGTACTTGCATTTTGTCATCTGTACTGCCCAGCTCTGCTTTTATAGCAAAAGATTCTTTCCTCTGTCCATGTGTAGGTCTTTGGGAAGGGGTTTTAATGGCAAATTGTTAAAGCTTTTTCACAATTCAGATCTTAGTGTGATACCTTGTATTGAGCAGTTCCTTCAGTCTCCTTTATAGTAAGAATATTGGAAAGCTCTGTTTTTCATAAGTCCACAAATGCCAGCCATTGGAAGAAAGATGCCCTGTGTCTTGCATGGCAGGTCACAAAGCTCTGCTGTTTCTTGAGGGACATTGGTCAGGAGCCCTTCACTCTTACATCTAAAGGACCTTCCAGTGGGATATGCCTTCACTCCTCATACTGTCAGGTGGCTGTAGGGAAAACAGGAGGTTTCCTTCTTCTCTGGCAAAAGATTTCTGGGTTTATGTGCTTCAACATGTCTCTGGTAGAAGTGCTAGATGGAGCTGGATACATGCTTCATCTTTGAAGATACATGTGTACATTACATGTTCTAAGCATCCCATTGAGGTGCAGTTCCTACACTCAGCCCAAACCTCTTGACTTGCATCCTGCTTGCTGATAGTGATCCTGCATGGTGTATGGTTGCTCAGGATTTCTCAGTACCTTCCTGAAATGACTGAATTTTGCTGAAAGAGCCTTCTGCTGCTAGATGTACAAGGGCAGGGGAGTTAGCTGCAGGCCTTGGATTGAAGACTTGGGGGGCATGGAAGCTGTTAAGAAAGAGTATTTGTATTAAAAGGCTTTAGCAAATTATTTTATCCCTTGCAAAGCTGTTTGGGTCAATAGAAAAATAACTGATACATGTCATAGAAAATTTCTAGCCAGAACCTTAAAGATACTGTTTAAAAGGTATTTCCAGAGGGGACCTTGAGTTGGTTCTTGATTCATTGTCATCATGGTCCTTGACTCATCTGAGTTCAGCTGCCTGTGTTACATCCCCCATATAAACAGGCTGGAGTTTTTCCCCCGCACACGGTGACATTTCTGGTGGTAGGTAAGATCAGCCCATGACCAGGGCTCGAAGATTCCTTTGAGTGGTCCTGTTGCCTCTTAGCTCATCATGATGTTGAGCCATGGTTCACAATAAAGGGTTGTCTTGGAAAAATGTACTTAGTGTGCGCAAAGTGTCACAGCAAAGCCCAGTCAACACATCAGAAATAGAGCAGTAAAAGAGGAGGTTTATTGCTGTTAAAAGGTAACCTGAAGATTTGGATCACTGGGTGTTCCTTGTTCATTTTGTTGATGTTCATAATTGATTTACCTGGTGAGGATGGCCAAGTTCTTGAATGTTTACTCATTGCTCTGCCCTCTTGTAGGTGGATGAAGTTTGAGGAGAAGGTAGAACAAGGTGGGGAGTGATGGAGCAAACATCATGTGGCCACCTTATCCCTGCACAGCTTGTTTCAGTTGTGGACATGTATAGAGAAAAGCTCGATAATGCGGGTTGTGGAGGCTTCTTTTCTCCCTCAGGTGGTGGGTAAGTAAAACCGCCTTAGCTCTTTCCCTCAGCTTTTTCCTACAAGTTTCTATTAACCCTGAGGATGGTTTTAATGAAAAAGCACTGCTTTTTCAATAAAAGAGGAAACATAAATAAGTAATTCTCCAAGGAGTAACAGGGACAACTAGAAAGTACATGGAGAATGATGACAAATGTAAGGAGCTCTCAGTTCAGGAAGAAGAGTAAAAGTCAACTTCAGTGCTAACCAATGCTTACTTTGAACTGCTTTCGGTGATTTTATAGAATCATTTGGATCCTGAAGTAGATATCCTAAGATCTCATTAGGTGTGTGTGAAAGGAATAGCACACACTGACTGAATTTACGTTCCATATGTTTCCTTATTAGAAACATATGAGAAAGGCCACCTCTCTCAGGACAGGGATACCTGGCAAGTGCAGGACAACTGCAGTTTCAGCCATATAATCAACACATAGGCTGCTTTGGATGAGGTCCCGGGGTGGTAGCCCACTGGAGGCTCTGTTTGGGTTGGGGCCCTCCCTGCAGTGAAGGAGGGTGACGAGCAGCCACAGTACCTGCTGCTGCTTCACCCTACTGAAAGAGATGGCAGCTTTTTTTCAGTCGAAGAGCTGTGGCCTGGGATGACTCTTGGTGACATTGCTGAAAGCTGTTCCATATTCCTGGTGATGTACAAGAAGGAAAGAAACGGGGAAATGTCTTTTAAAAGTGCGCCGTCTAGTGGAGGTGCATATGGCCAAAACATAGAATTTAGAAACCATCATGTGAAGAGGTTTTTAAAACAAAATGGAATAAACTGCCCACAGCACTCAATGCTTAGAATTATAATCTCAGGAAGCAGGCTCAAAAGTATTTTAGCATGAAATTATCCAGTGTCAGGTGTTGCACTAGTTTGTAAGGCATAGAATTACAAAAGCTGCCTCTGCTGTTCTCTGCACGCTTTGAACTTAGTTGTGTAGGTGCTTATGGTGGCATTGATCTTCCTTTATTTGTGTGCCTGTGTATCCACATGCACAGCTTTGCAAAGGTTAGAAATACAAGAACCCCCCCACCCCCCTCCCCTGAAAAAAAAACCCTCCCTTCTGAAATACATCCAGCTTCAGCACAAGATTTCAAATGATGTCAGTGGTCCAAAACTTTAACCCTCAAACATTAAATTTCTTTTTGAAGTCATTTTGAGGTGTCACCTTCAATATCTTTCTACAACACTCAAATCTAATTTCCAGGTGATCTCAGTGGCTGCTGTTGCTGTAACACTGCTCCGAGTGTGGTAGTTTTGGTGGGCCAGAGCCTTAGTCAGACAGATGGGGATCTTCAAGAAGCCTGCAGACTTGGTTTCCAGAATTATTTAATCATCATGACTTGGTTGATGTCCTGTAGTGACACACAGGAAACAAAAACTGCAAGAGCTCTCTTTGTTGATTTGTGTTCTATCAGAAACATGGAAGAAATACTTGCTGGATGGAGAGGTTAAACGGAATGAAGAAAGACATGTTGTTCTGAAGGAAGTATTCCAAAAATACCAATAAAAAATGACTTACAGAAAATTGTCGATTTAGAGAAATAAACCACTTGCCAAACATTTTGTGTAACAATACCTATGTGCATATAATCATTAGTTTCTGAGTCTGGGTGGAAGAATTAGGCTTTCCCCACCTGTGATCTGAAGAGGCATTAGTTCTTGGGGAGTGCAGAAAGGATGACATCCTGACTTACTGAGGAAGCAAATGCGATGTGTCTTCTGCCTCCCTTTCCCTGTAACTTTTATTATTAGCACAGATGAAAGTTACCAGTAGACAAATTGGAGCTGCCACTTGCCGTTGGGGAACAGCAAGTCGACTGAAGTAATCAAGAGAACATCTTAATGGGAGATGTACTGCGCAATAGAGATTCATAATAAATTTGGCTACCTTATTTTTTGTTTCTACATTGGGATAAGGGAACAGAAAGGAGAGAATTGATGGGAAGAGAGTGGGTTTGCAGGGGCCTGGAAGCCTTTTTCCCTCATGATTCAGTTCAAGGCAAAGCTACATAATGCATGCTGTGACAAGTGGAGCAAGTTCTAACTTTTGTAGTTGCCATTATTTTACATCAGTTCTGAGAGTGGTTTAATTAGTTCCTCATTTCCAAGTTGTGTTTGTTGGGAAGTGTGTTTATGAAATCAAGGGGTGAAACTGGAAAAGACAGGTAAGTTTTGGCACATGGATCTGTCCAGGTCGGGAATAAATATTGAGATGTCTCAAGAAGAGCTGGTGTGATGATGGGGTTGTGTTGATCACAATGTGGGTAAGAGGCTGCTAGCAAGAGGTAGTGAAGTCATCAGCTGCTTCCTCTGGGAAGAAGGGTAATTATCTCCTAGAAATATCCAGCCTTGGACATCTAATAAACAAAGCAAACAAATGTAATCTGGAAAAATTCTTTCTTATGAGCCACTTGGAATCACGATATACATGCTGTGTGTTACTGCCACATCCCGCAACCTCAACACAACAGAAGCCAAGCAGTTAAATAAATTAGATACTCCAAAAGGGGGATCCCCAGCTTTTCCTCTTGCTGCTGTTATTACAAGCCAAGTTTAAGACCCTACCTACCTTTCTGAAAGCTGTGGGCCCTGATTTTAGTCTGTCTACTCCAGAACTGGAAATTTGGAAGACCACTAGAACAGTCTGCAGAAAACGAAAGGATACCTTCAGCAGTTGCCTTTCTCTACAGCTGCATAATGTAGCTCTTCTGAATAAAACACATTGAAACTGCATTTAAAAAATGAAATAGAATTAGTATTTTCTACCCTTGCTCAAAGCTTTATGGAAGCCACACTTAGTTCCTTCTTGGTCATTAGCAATGCCAGGACTTAGCCTTTCTATGGTAAGGCTTGAACAAGTGGAAATCCATCTCTTCCATGCTGTCTCGCTATACAGGGTGGAACGGCAGCTCGCCCAAACCCATGGGCTGGTCTGAGTGGGATATCCAGGGTGGGACACCCAGTTCTGAGAGTAGCCCACCAGTATTCCCATCTTCACAAGCCAATGAACCTGTCCAAATCGGTGTAACTCTGCTGGAGATGTTTAATCTCTCGCACTCTGTAGCCCATAGGTGATAGAAACTGGCAGGAGCTTTGCTTTGCCTCACTGAGCTGCATGACACCAGTTATTCAAGTGCTTCTCTGATTCTTCATTTGGTATTATTGGCTCAGATTTGCAAAGCAGCCATGTGCATCTCTGTGTCATGTTTCAATCTTTCCTTTTCATTTATGGGTACGTGATAAGCTTGTCAAAGTTTTCCCAGAGCTAGCAGTGTCTGTGCAACCTTTAAAAGCTAGGTAAGTGCATCATACAAGACAAAGGAGCTCTGGGTTTTGGTAATGGGCTTCAGGATTACAATAACCTGGGTTGATTTTGTTTTTTTTTTTTTTTTTTTGGGTCCAGCTTTGCCTTTTCCAAATAGAAATACTTATTAAATACTCATATCAAGGAGGGTGTTATGAACAAAGTAATGTCTTCACCACATAGCAGATACTATGTATGTGAGCAAGTTTGATCACTTCTGTCCTGTTTTGTCAATGTGTTTACCTCCTGCATATAGATTCCTGTCAAGCATTCAGTCAGAATTTGTAGATGTTTCTAAGTCTGGCTTGCTAATAGTTAATTAGGAGAATGGTTACTAATACATGTAGCTTTAATGAGTCTTCTGAATTGCATTCCTCACTCTGTGAGTAAACACATTGGTAAGAACTTTGTAGAGGTAAGTGGGGTCTTAAACCTGGCTTGTAATAACAGCAGCAAGAGGAAAAGCTGGGGATCCTCCTTTTGGAGTATCTAACTTACTTAACTGTGCTTGGCTTCTGCTGTGTTGAGGTTGCGGGATGTGGCAGTAACATGCAGCAGGTATATCATGATTCCAAGTGGCTCATAAGAAAGGATGCTTTAAGTCTACCTCCACAAATGCTAAGTATATTGTAAAGAAAACCCAACTCTGAGGGTCCAGATTGGTTTCTTCCCACTCCTTGTTTTTGACCTTCATTTTGATGTAAATATCAAAGCTTAAGTTCAATCAATGTTATCTCAAAACATAGCAAAAGTTGTGAAATGCCTCAGGGCCATTTTTTTCTTAAATGTTTTCTGTCTTCCCGGGTATGTTGATGGTCAGAAGCTCTGTGAGAACAGCTCCTGTTTCTGTGCTTCTAGTTCCTGCAAGCTTGGGTGGGAAATGGGAAAATTGGAGAGTAATTAAAAAAATGCATAGTGAATGCTGTGGTTTATGATACTGTATCTATCCCTGAATTATTATATTATTATTATTACTACTATTATTGTATTTTTATTCTTGTACAGTTATAGCGATTTAGAGGTTTCTTCAGTTTTAACTATGGGATTGTAAAATTGAATTCTGAAATCACAGGGCTTTTTTCCCAGTTCTTTAGAATTATTTCCATGTGTTCTGCCAGCAGTATCTGAGAACACAAGAATGAGTAGGATACGTTATACATAAGGGAGCAAACAGCTCCTTACTAGCTGTTCTGCAGTGGTTGAATACCAGTGTGTCAGGTTTACAGACAAGCAGTTGGTCTTTGAAGAAGAAACATTGGTAAGCAGCTTCAGCTCTGTGACTCTGGGAGTGTTCATATCTGGGTTATCTGGCATCAGGAGTCAGTAACTTTTGGCCTGTCGGTGTGGTCCACGTTGTTTCAACCAGTAAAGTTTATAAACTTACTTGAAGAAAGGTAAATTTTTAGTGTTGCTGTTCCAAAGGACCAGAGCTGCCAAGACACCCTCGCCATTGAATCTGTAATGATGAGGAACATAGGGTAGATGCCATCTATGTAGGAGAGCTGAGGTGATGGATTTGCAGGTCTGAGTACCATAAGGATGCCAGCCTCGTGGAAGGACCTATGTGTGAGTGGGTCCTGGGTGACCCAGCAGCATCAGTGTCAGCAGCTGGTTACTGCTTTGCTGCTTCTCCCACAGGAAAGAATTATGGAAAATCCATAGACTCTTTGGCTGTACCTCAGAAATCATGATGGGTTAGCATCTTGAATCTCCCATGTGCCATGTGAAGTCACAGAAAGCATCCTCTCAGGGTCTTAAATTCCCCGAATCAATCTCCCTGGTGCAAGGAAATGTGTTGCTGTAGCTTAAGCCTCTGTTCCCCTGACTGGATTGAAATAGGTGCTTTAATTGGTGTTGACATTGCTCTTAAAGGCAGTCCAGCCATGGCTTACAGAAACCTGATGTTATGTTCTGTATTTCTTACACTTAACTCAGAGATCTGTTTCAGTTCTGTTTTCATAGAGGTTTATCCAGTTTCTTTTATCCAGTTTATCCAGTTTGATTTTTTAACCAAACCGGTGTTTGGTTATGAAGTTACAAGTTGGTTTTGAAAAATTTGTTTCATGCATATTTACAGTCCATCTGTTTATGAATGAAGGACAGACTGAAGAGACAGCATATTATAGATGAGTCATAAACTGGTTCTTAATTATTTCAGTTTGGAGGCAGTATCTAGTGGCTTGCTTGCTCCTGTTGGCTTGCATACAGTCTGGCAGCTGGAGGTGTAGGCACCTGGTCTTCCTTTGAATCATCTCTTGACAAAGCTGGCGGACTTTTGGGTACTGCTCATTAGGAGCTGCTCAGTCTCCCATAATCCTGCCTCCAGGAACTGATAACTGACAAATATTTAATGAAAGATTAAACAACAAATGATCTTCATGTTCTGGTAATTTTTCTGCCAGACAAAAATCAGTATACCAAAGGCTGCCAGTCCCACCATCTTTCTCATTTTAGAAGTAGTTTAGGATCACAAAATTTTTACATGTTTACATTACTGGTTATCTTTTCACTCCTGCTCTGAGGAAGGTACTACAATATGCTCATTTTACAGTTGAAGGAAGTGTGGCAGAGTATGTGCTTCAGGGCACACATGAAGAGTGGTGTAGGCTCAGTCATTCCAACTGTCACAGGTAGTGCTACTTCATCTTCACAGGGTATAAACCACAACTTACACAAAAGGAAAAAAAACCCAAACAAAACACAATAGCCCAGTAGCTCCTTTGTTGGGACAGGATTTTCAGAACTTGAATTTTGGAACCTGAATTTTGGAATTTTGGTACTACATGCCATCTACATCTTACCCTCTTACTGTAAAGCTTCAGGTTTTGTTTTTGTTCTTGTATGTTTGCTTTGATTTTTATTTATTTATTTTATTAGGGGACAGCTGTGTTTGGCTTTGAAGAAAGGCTGAATATGTGGTCACAAGTTCCTGCCTTGGGGCTCACCAGGAGCTATTAACCAAGAAATGTACTAATAAAGAAAAACAGTACTGTTTGTGCAAAACCCAAATGTTCTTCTCATCTCTAACATGCTTTTAAAGTTACTTTTATCTTATCATCCTCACTTTCTAGTTGTTTTGTTTTTATGGACAGTATTTAGCAGGCAGCTCCTATAGTTTCTGGAACATGGTAAGTGTTTTTGTCCAGGACATTTTCAAACCTGATTGACATGTGTCCTAACATGAGGCAGCTCACTATTGGCATCTTAGAGATCCATATTGACTGTCACGTATATATGCATATAGGTCACCCATGCATAGAGTAAATGGAGGGAAATTGAAGGAATGGAATGGAAACTGTAAGCTATGGGGTGATAAATACATGAAGAGCCTCTTGAGTAATCTTGTGTGGTTTCTGATGTTAGCAGAATCCTGAGATGAATTTAGTGTCTTGCTTGGTTTTGCTGGTTTTCTAGTCTCTCTGAAGCAGGGCTCCTTTATAAATAACAAGAGAAAGCCAATGGTGTTTCATAGAGAAATCAAATTTAGACACTAAAATGATA